TTTTTGAATATTTCTCCGAAATATATTTATGCCGATACTAAATCTTTGCTTTATTGATTTTATTATTAATGCGTGATCACCGGCAAGATTCAGCACGCTGAGGTCGCAGGTCGCAACTGTTCCTCACGACTAAGTGGATCTTCTGAACCTGAGGTGGTGTTGGTGGTTAGTCCACGACGTTCGACAATAATTGGATTTTCGACCAACATCTGCTGAACGTAAGTAACGTTCCTCTTCTTTCGGGTCTCTTATTCTGGAACTATTTTATTTATTTCTTGTGGAATTATGATAATTGACTAACGTTTCCTACTCCTAAAAATCTGAAGTTTATGTAACTGGATTAAAGGAAAAACCTACCGACTTTATGTTTTTTCTTTATATTTCAAAATATTTCAAAATATTTTAGTAAAAATTTAGTAAAAATTAGTGTTTAGTGTTTTAGTAAAAACAATTTATAATGTATTAGATTAAGCATTATTTACAAATTATTAGCCATTGTCTGTCTAAATTCACTCCAAACCATATCCAACTCGTAATTGCCTCAATGCCGTTTACTTAGTTCAATGTGATTCCGCTTGGCTAATGATGTTCCGGAGGTGTTCCAACATTTGCACGTTTTTTGAATATTTCTCCGAAATATATTTATGTCGATTCTTAATCTTTGCTTTATTGATTTTATTATTAATGCGTGATCGCCGGCAAGATTCAGCACGCTGAGGTCGCAACTATTCCTCACGACTAAGTGGTTCTTCTTAACCTGAGGTGGTGTTGGTTGTTGGTCCACGACGTTCGATAATAATTGGATTTTCGACTAATATCTGCTGAAGGTAACGTTCCTCTTCTTTCTGATAAGTTTTCTTATAGAGTCTCAGTTCCTCTGACATATCGCGCTCGATAGTGGTCAGTTTAATTTGTTGTACTTCTGGCGAAAAGTTTTGCATATTATGTGCATACCTACGTATTTTGAAAATATATAAAAGGTGGAGTAATTGTGTTATCCACATTATTGTGTTTATAATTTTATCTATATAACTATGTAGATTTAGTAAAATTTAATATGTCCGTCTAAATTCACTCCAAACCTTGTCCAGCTCGTAATTGCCTCAATGCCGTTTCACTTAGTCCATTACGAATTAAATGTGATTCCGCATGTCTTATGATGTTCCGGAGGTGTTCCAACATTTGTACATTTTTTGAATATTTCTCCGAAATATATTTATGCCGATATTTAATCTTTGCTTTATTGATTTTATTATTAATGCGTGATCGCCGTCAAGATACAGCACGCTGAGGTCGCAACTGTTCCTCATGACTAAATGGTTCTTCTGAACCTGAGGTGGTGTTGGTGGTTAGTCCGCGACGTTCGACAATAATTGGATTTTCGACCAATATCTGCTGAACGTAACGTTCCTCTTCTTTCGGGTCTCTTATTCTGCAACTATTTTATTTATTTCTTGTGCAATTATGATAATTGACTAACGTTTCCTACTCCTAAAAATCTGAAGTTTATGTAACTGGATTAAAGGAAAAACCTACCGACTTTATGTTTTTTCTTTATATTTCAAAATATTTCAAAATATATAAAATTAATACGAGTATATTAGATATAATATATTTTATATTAAATCATACTTGTGTTTTAGTAAAAATAATTTATAATGTATTAGATTAAGCTTTATTTACAAATTATTAGCCATTGTCTGTCTAAATTCACTCCAAACCATATCCAACTCGTAATTGCCTCAATGCCGTTTACTTAGTTCATTACGAGTTAAATGTGATTCCGCTTGGCTAATGATGTTCCGGAGGTGTTCCAACATTTGCACGTTTTTTGAATATTTCTCCGAAATATATTTATGTCGATTCTTAATCTTTGCTTTATTGATTTTATTATTAATGCGTGATCGCCGGCAAGATTCAGCACGCTGAGGTCGCAACTATTCCTCACGACTAAGTGGTTCTTCTTAACCTGAGGTGGTGTTGGTTGTTGGTCCACGACGTTCGATAATAATTGGATTTTCGACTAATATCTGCTGAAGGTAACATTCCTCTTCTTTCTGATAAGTTTTCTTATAGAGTCTCAGTTCCTCTGACTTATCGCGCTCGATAGTGGTCAGTTCAATTTGTTGTACTGCTGGCGAAAAATTTTGCATATTATGTGCATACCTACGTATTTTGAAAATATATAAAAGGTGGAGTAATTGTGTTATCCATTATTGTTTTTATAATTTTATCTATATAACTATGTAGATTTAGTAAAATTTAATATGTCCGTCTAAATTCACTCCAAACCATGTCCAGCTCGTAATTGCCTCAATGCCGTTTCACTTAGTCCATTACGAATTAAATGTGATTCCGCATGTCTTATGATGTTCCGGAGGTGTTCCAACATTTGTACATTTTTTGAATATGTCTCCGAAATATATTTATGTCCATACTTAATCTTTGCTTTATTGATTTTATTATTAATGCGTGATCGCCGTCAAGATACAGCACGCTGAGGTCGCAACTGTTCCTCATGACTAAATAGTTCTTCTGAACCTGAGGTGGTGTTGGTGGTTAGTCCGCAACGTTCGACAATAATTGGATTTTCGACCAATATCTGCTGAACGTAACGTTCCTCTTCTTTCGGGTCTCTTATTCTGGAACTATTTTATTTATTTCTTGTGGAATTATGATAATTGACTAATGTTTCCTACTCCTAAAAATCTGAAGTTTATGTAACTGGATTAAAGGAAAAACCTACCGACTTTATGTTTTTTCTTTATATTTCAAAATATTTCAAAATATATAAAATTAATACGAGTATATTAGATATAATATATTATATTAAATCATACTTGTGTTTTAGTAAAAATAATTTATAATGTATTAGATTAAGCATTATTTACAAATTATTAGCCATTGTCTGTCTAAATTCACTCCAAACCATATCCAACTCGTAATTGCCTCAATGCCGTTTACTTAGTTCATTACGAGTTAAATGTGATTCCGCATGGCTAATGATGTTCCGGAGGTGTTCCAACATTTGCACGTTTTTTGAATATGTCTCCGAAATATATTTATGTCGATTCTTAATCTTTGCTTTATTGATTTTATTATTAATGCGTGATCGCCGGCAAGATTCAGCACGCTGAGGTCGCAACTATTCCTCACGACTAAGTGGTTCTTCTTAACCTGAGGTGGTGTTGGTTGTTGGTCCACGACGTTCGATAATAATTGGATTTTCGACTAATATCTGCTGAAGGTAACGTTCCTCTTCTTTCTGATAAGTTTTCTTATAGAGCCTCAGTTCCTCTGACATATCGCGCTCGATAGAGGTCAGTTTAATTTGTTGTACTTCTGGCGAAAAGTTTCGCATATTATGTGCATACCTACATATTTTGAAAATATATAAAAGGTGGAGTAATTGTGTTATCCACATTATTGTGTTTATAATTTTATCTATATAACTATGTAGATTTAGTAAAATTTAATATGTCCGTCTAAATTCACTCCAAACCTTGTCCAGCTCGTAATTGCCTCAATGCCGTTTCACTTAGTCCATTACGAATTAAATGTGATTCCGCATGTCTTATGATGTTCCGGAGGTGTTCCAACATTTGTACATTTTTTGAATATTTCTCCGAAATATATTTATGCCGATACTTAATCTTTGCTTTATTGATTTTATTATTAATGCGTGATCGCCGTCAAGATACAGCACGCTGAGGTCGCAACTGTTCCTGATGACTAAATGGTTCTTCTGAACCTGAGGTGGTGTTGGTGGTTAGTCCGCGACGTTCGACAATAATTGAATTTTCGACCAATATCTGCTGAACGTAACGTTCCTCTTCTTTCGGGTCTCTTATTCTGCAACTATTTTATTTATTTCTTGTGGAATTATGATAATTGACTAACGTTTCCTACTCCTAAAAATCTGAAGTTTATGTAACTGGATTAAAGGAAAAACTACCGACTTTATGTTTATTCTTTGTACTCATAATTTATATTTCAAAATATATAAAATTAATACGAGTATATTAGATATAATATATTTTATATTAAATCACACTTGTGTTTTAGTAAAAATAATTTATAATTAAGTAGATTAAGCATTATTTGCCAATTATTAGCCATAGTCCGTTTAAATTCATTCCAAAACATATCCAGCTCGTAATTGCCTCAATGCCGTTTCACTTAGTACATTACGAATTAAATGTGATTCCGCTAGGCTAATGATGTTCCGGAGGTGTTCCAACATTTGTACATTTTTTGAATATTTCTCCGAAATATATTTATGCCGATACTAAATCTTTGCTTTATTGATTTTATTATTAATGCGTGATCGCCGGCAAGATTCAGCACGCTGAGGTCGCAGGTCGCAACTGTTCCTCACGACTATGTGGTTCTTCAGAACCTGAGGTGGTGTTGGTGGTTAGTCCACATTTGTACATTTTTTGAATATTTCTCCGAAATATATTTATGCCGATACTAAATCTTTGCTTTATTGATTTTATTATTAATGCGTGATCGCCGGCAATATTCAGCACGCTGAGGTCGCAGGTCGCAACTGTTCCTCACGACTAAGTGGTTCTTCTGAACCTGAGGTGGTGTTGGTGGTTAGTCCACGACGTTCGACAATAATTGGATGTTCGACCAACATCTGCTGAACGTAACGTTCCTCTTCTTTCGGGTCTCTTATTCTGCAACTATTTTGTTTATTTCTTGTGGAATTATAATAATTGACTAACGTTTCCTACTCCTAAAAATCTGAAGTTCATGTAACTGGATTAAAGGAAAAACCTACCGACTTTATGTTTTTTCTTTGTACTCATAATTTATATTTCAAAATATATAAAATGAATACGAGTATATCAGATATAATATATTTTATATTAAATCACACTTGTGTTTTAGTAAAAATAATTTATAATTAATTAGATTAAGCATTATTTGCATATTATTAGCCATTGTCCGTTTAAATTCACTCCAAATCATATCCAGCTCGTAATTGCCTCTATGCCGCTTCACTTAGTACGTTACGAATTAAATGTGATTCCGCTAGGCTAATGATGTTCCGGAGGTGTTCCAACATTTGTACATTTTTTTGAATATTTCTCCGAAATATATTTATGCCGATACTAAATCTTTGCTTTATTGATTTTATTATTAATGCGTGATCGCCGGCAAGATTCAGCACGCTGAGGTCGCAGGTCGCAATTGTTCCTCACGACTAAGTGGTTCTTCTGAACCTGAGGTGGTGTTGGTGGTTAGTCCACGACGTTCGACAATAATTGGATGTTCGACCAACATCTGCTGAACGTAACGTTCCTCTTCTTTCGGGTCTCTTATTCTGCAACTATTTTGTTTATTTCTTGTGGAATTATAATAATTGACTAACGTTTCCTACTCCTAAAATTCTGAAGTTCATGTAACTGGATTAAAGGAAAAACCTACCGACTTTATGTTTTTTCTTTGTACTCATAATTTATATTTCAAAATATATAAAATTAATACGAGTATATCAGATATAATATATTTTACATTAAATCACACTTGTGGTTTAGTAAAAATAATTTATAATTAATTAGCTTAAGCATTATTTGCATATTATTAGCCATTGTCCGTTTAAATTCATTCCAAAACATATCCAGCTCGTAATTGCCTCTATGCCGTTTCACTTAGTACATTACGAATTAAATGTGATTCCGCTAGGCTAATGATGTACCGGAGGTGTTCCAACATTTGTACATTTTTTGAATATTTCTCCGAAATATATTTATGCCGATACTAAATCTTTGCTTTATTGATTTTATTATGAATGCGTGATCGCCGGCAAGATTCAGCACGCTGAGGTCGCAGGTCGCAACTGTTTCTCACGACTAAGTGGTTCTTCTGAACCTGAGGTGACGTTGGTGGTTAGTCCACGACGTTCGACAATAATTGGATTTTCGACCAACATCTGCTGAACG